AGCTGGTGAAATATTGAGAGAAGGAGCTGGGGATGGCTCCACAGTGCAGGAACAGCTGCTGATCCATGGGAAAGGCAGCGCCCAGCCCCAGTCCCAGCCCAGAGCTCCTTGGCTGGCTCTGGGAGTTGCAGCTCCTCAGTTTCCCCCTTTGTTCAGCCAGGCCCGTGGGAAGGAGCAGGGTGTGATGAAGTCAGTGCCGCTAAAAGGGGTCCTTTATTGCATTTTCTGAGTTGTTTTGGGGTGGTTTGTTTTAAATCCCAGATGAGTCAGGGAGCAGGAATGGCTGGCTAGAAAATGCAGGCACCAAAATCGTCCATCCTCCAAGGCAGCTCCCCCTCAAAGGCTGCCAGCCCCCCTCACCCCAAGTGATAAACATCACCTATTTCATAAATACTGATTCACAGGGTGATTAGGAGACTTCCCAAGCCTGCAGCAGGGACACGACTAACAGCGTGCCACAAACATCAAGTGCTCCTCCTCACAAATGTGATAACATTTACTTCCTAAACAAATTAAATCTGATATTTTAGAAAAAAATACACGCAGCCAACCCACAACTTCTCCTGCCCTCAATTTAACTTTTCCCCACAAACAGGCTTCAAGAAAATGACACTTGGTGTGCACTTAATAGCACTGGAAAAAGCAGGGAGCAAATCCCCCTGCAGTATTCCTCACTCAAAGACCCCCCACCCCTCCTGCAGAAAATGGGAATCTTTGTGTTCCCTCAGGAGGCTGCGGAGAGGAGGAACAGGGTGGACCAAGGGAAACGGGAGCTGTGAAATGAAGCAGCTACCCAATGGCAGTGCTGAAAATGGATGGTTTGAGCAGGTTTGGTGCCTGGCACCAGCCTTTGCTGCCATTATCCTGCTGCATGTTTAAGGCAGGAGCACGAGCACCCCTTCCACACTTGGTCAAATATGGGACCAGCGTGTTCCTGCCGAAAATCAATGTCAGCTGAGCTGCTCTGTGAGTAAATGTCACATTGCAGGCAGCCCAGAGCAGCAGAATGTGGGGTTTGTGTGAGCTGGAACCTCCCTGCACAGACCCAGGCTGGCTGCAGGAGGAGCCCAGGCTTTCCTTGGAGCTTTTGCAAAGCAGAAAGTGTGGGGAGGACATGGTGTCACAGACATCTTTTATGGAAAATCCTTTCCTTAGGATTGTTCCTCCTGAGAAGCTGGGAGGCCTCAGGAACAAAATGCAAACAATGGTTATCTGCTGCTGTGGGATGCAACAGGTGCATCTGGGATTGGTCTCTTTTGGTTGTTTCTAATTAATGGCCAATCACAGTCAGCTGGCTTGGACAGAGAGCCAAGGCACAAACCTTTGTTATCTATTCTATTCTATTCTATTCTATTCTATTCTATTCTATTCTATTCTATTCTATTCTATTCTATTCCATTCCATTCCATTCCATTCCATTCCATTCCATTCCATTCCATTCCATTCCATCCTTCTGAGGAAACCTTTTCTTCTAGTCTTTTAGTATAGTTTTAATATAATATGTATCATAAAATAATAAACCAGCCTTCTGAAACACGGAGTCAACATTCTCATCTCTGCCCTCATCCTGGGACCCCTGTGAGCACCACCACAGACTCGGGGCTGCTGCTCCTCCCTGACAGCTCCTGACAGTTCCACACCACAGATCAAGGTCTCTGTGCACAGATTGAGGTCTGGGCAAGCAGAGCAAGTGGAGTGGACAGAAATGCAAGGTGAAATGGATTGACATGGGCTAAAGGGCAGCTGGGACAGGCAGGCACTGTCATAAATAAAGACTTTTCTGCAGGGGAGAAGTGACTGGGCAGAGGTTGTGGGATGGGCAGGAGGAGCCTCACCATGTGCCATGGGCATGGGGAAGGATGGGAAAGGTAAATGCAAAGTGATGGAAACTCTGCTGAGACCCAGGGCTGCAAAATCCCTGCCAGGCCAGGGAAGGGCAGCTGGGTTTGCTCTCTGCAAATTAACCAAAAGGGAAATACTCATCCATGCAGTGTGCCAGAGCAGGAATGCTGGAGCTGCTCACAGAGGAGGCTGTGTTGGGTTGGTTTGAATTGTTACCCAAGAGAAGGGGTGAGCAGAACATGGGCAGCTGTGTGAGCTGTGCAGAACATGGGGCTCACCAAATCACACAATCACAGAATCACAAAATCCCAGGGTCACAGAATCACAAAATCCCATCAATCCCAAATCACACAATCACACAATCACAGAATCACAAAATCCCATAATCACAGAATCACAGGATCACACAATCACAGAACGATGATGTTGGAAGAGACCTCTAGGATCATCCAGTCCAACCTGTGCCCCAACACCTCAACTATAGCACCAAGTGCCATGTCCAGTCTTTTTTAAATTTAAACACATCCAGAGATGGTGATTCCACCACCTCCCTGGGGAGAGCATTCCAGTACTTTGTTATTCTTTCTGTAAAACATTTCCTCCTGATATCCAACCTGTCCCTTCCCTGCCGTAGCTGGGGACTGTGTCCTCTGATGTGCAGGCTGGAGCAGGATGGGCGAAAGAAACACTCACAGCTTTGTGAGCTTGACAAATACCAAATGAAATTAATTCCAGGGTGGGCGTGAGCACAGGGTACTGCTGGGAATGGGAAAAGCCCTGAATGGAAGGTACAGCAGGCTGAGCCTGCCTGGAAGTGCTCCATCCATCCATCCATCCATCCATCCATCCATCCATCCATCCATCCATCCATCCATCCATCCATCCACCTTCCCTGGGATATCACTCTGCAATTGTGACTAAACACAGGATTACAGATTCATTTGGCTCTAAGCAGCCCTGCAATACACTGTAGATCACTGTAATGAAGACATGAATCTCTCCCTCTCCAGGAGGAGCAGAGAGGATTTCAGCCCTGGAGCAGGAGTTTCTTACCTTGCTGAATATTTCCATTGCACTCGTGATATCAGAAATAAGCTTTGCAGATTCTGACTTTTAGAAAATTATTCCCTTGAAAGGCTCTTTATGTTTTCCTGTTCTTCCCCAGCAATTAATGCATTGGCTTTGGAGGAGGATCTGTGATGTTATGCAAGTTAAACCTGTAAAAATGGGGAACTGTAATTAATAAAACCCCAAACAGATGCATCACAGCACACACACACTCCTATAAACACCTAAAATACTGGGTCTGCATGGAAATGAATGCACACCTTGAGAGGGGTGATCTGTCTTCTCTGCTAATTGTCTTTATCAGATAAATATACAATTACATCAAACAAAACCATTATTTTGCCAACTTGCAGACAGGAGTGGTGACATTAGTTATTTAGTTATATCTAACTGAATAATCTAATAATATATCTAATTAGTGAATAACTAATATCACCACATTTTAGTGGTGATATTAGTCATTCATTAATATCTGTAAATGCTGGAGGGGGAATATTCCCATCTAATTTGGCAAATGTTTGACAAAGCCTGGAAAAGGTAACATTTGTAAATATGTTATTTTGTTAACATATTTACAAATAAAAACCTTTTGCTTCTATCAAAGCAAAACACCTGCTCAGTCTGAGCTTTTAGAAGGATGCTACCAATGCATAGAAATCCTGGACACCCCAATGTGGAGGTGTTCACAGGGGTCTCAGGATTGGGGAAGAGATGAGGATCTGACTCCATGTTTCAGAAGGCTGAT